TGATGATATCATCATTTAAAAGATTGCTCAAATGAACTGAAGTTGAAATACTTTTTACTCAAATATTACTAATCATACTTTTATTGCCATAACAAAAATTTTCTTGGGCACTTTATGGTGATTAAGATTATATCCTGTGAAGTGCGTTAGCTAGACACAGCATACATAGGTGGCTAAATTTTTAATTGCAAACTCTAGCAACTTATATCTGCATACATATTAATTAAAAGCAAGGGATAATGTGGTAGTTTTTTTTTAACACAGAGAAAATCGATCGGAGTAGATACGAGTAAAATATTCATAAAATGTATTAATCTGAGTTTATCTATTCCAGCAAATTGCTTCTACCTATCCAGATTGATCAAAAGACATTCTAAAACATAATAAATTTTAGTTGTGTTGAACCTTTTGTCCATAACACTCTCTTATTACTTTACTCATCATTTTAGAAATGGTATAAATAACCCTTCTATTCAGATAATACATATGATAATCAAGTATTCAAGCTCTGGAGCTATAATAAGCACATTCTCTCCAAAGCTTTATCATATACTGAAAATACTATTGAGCGTATTTTAATTATCTTATGTTGGGCAAAGCTGTAAAATTTAATTATATCACTTTTGAAGTGCCGCAGAAGTACATATTTAACAATTAAAATGTAATTGATTAGTTAATAGCCGGGACTTAATTTGAAAACTACAATATTGCTAGAGGAAAACAATTTACTGTTCGATTTTATCCTAATTCAACCACTCAAAGTTATCAATACACACACTCTTTTTTCAAATCATATGCCAGCTCTATTAGCTACTAGTATAAATCACAAAAGCATAAACGCTTTTTTTACAACGGCTAATTGTTTCCAGAAAATCTCATTAATACTCGTATTTGATTCAAGATATTTGTTAGGCAACTGCAGAGTCTGGCTTGTATTAATAAATTCTAAATGCAACTACTGATACCTTTACTGACTGTTATATGTTTACCCAATCATATGAGTAACATTGTTAAGACATTGCAAAATATGACTCATACAAAGATTGTTTTTGATTCTACTAGGCAACTTAGTTTTTTTATTGCCTTCCTCATTAATTTTCGAAAAGGGGTCTAACAAGACTAATTGCTTTGGACAATTTGAGTAAGCATATGAATTAACTTCAGAAAAAGAAGAATTAAATGTCATTACTGATAACAACGGAACTGACCTCTAATTATGCTATCCAGAAGTCTTCTTACAATAGGAATTACAAGTATTATAAGTGCAAAGAGGTATTTAACTGTGTTAAAAAGTTAATACATTAGGAAAAAAAATGGCTATGGTGACAATGCACACTGTGCAGTCGAACAGAAACATTAGCATGCAATGGGTCACAAGACAAATGTGTTTAAGAGAGCCTGACACAGCTAATTTGTAAGTTGTATAAATTTTTGGATCACTCTTTGAAGCAGAAACAAGAAGAATTTCAATTTTGTTAGCCTTTGTAAATAGCAAAATTTAGTGCAAAGTGTAATGTTATCGTATGGAATTTTACTTTCAAAAGACTAATTGTGGCAGTTTTGTAATATTAGTAAATTAAGAAGAAGTCTAGACAGCGAGAAATGAAGACCCCAAGAACAAGAAATACTTTATTTAGGATCATAAATAGAAATTTGGAATGCAACGGATTTAAGCACCCTATCTTAATACTTTGAAGAGTTATTTGAACATCAACTTTTGCTTGGAGTTGATGTTTAATTTAAATAAAATCATTCAGAAAGAACAACATTTGTCCCATCCAATATCAAAACATCACCTAAGATGTATCTTATTAAGTGGAGCAGTTTCTTCCTGTAATTCTAGCTGATGTATAAAGGTATGCATCACAAAATCCTCTATTATTTTAATCAGATTACAGTTTTTACACAACACTATCCAGTTTTCAGGAAATCATTCAACTTGATCTTAGTGGCTCTCAATTTTTATTTAAAAATTGCTTTCTTCCAATGAAACTAGACTCTCGATTCACCATCGGTTGAGGATTACAATTATTTATTAAAGCCATCAATGTAATTTGTGTGTTGATAAAAGAATCAATAAGTTAGCAATGCTTTTGGGCTTAAGTGTATAAATATCAGTGCCTTGGTTTTTATTGGATAATATCAAATAAACTCTTGAATATTGCCTTATGTGTTAAGACAGAGTCGCTCTTATATTAAGAGATTTCATTAATTCAGT